CTTCGTCAGACTAGTTTTTGTGTTATTTTTTCATTTCAACTCTAGCTTATGTTAATTTTCTGATTTATCACATGGATACTAATACTATTCTTATTCCCAAAAAAGAAAGCACTTTTTTCACTTTTGGTGAAGCCTGTGCATTTCTAGAAAATTACACAGCACAAACAAATATTGTGTTAATATTGGGAAAAACGACTATAGATCCTGATAGTAATAGCTATAGACAAGCAACTTTTGCTTGTGAAAAGCAGGGTAAATATAATGGCAAAAAAGACACATATTCAACCAAAAGAACTGGTTGTCAATTTTCTATCAGCTTAAATTACCGTAAACGTAATAATGAATTTGCCATAACACAAGTATGCTTGAAGCATAATCATATAATTTGTCCTGATGCTAGAAAGTTTAGCATAAATATGCGTAAGCTTGATCAAAATGAATTAGGCATGATTGAGAATTTACATGATAGTGGACTTCGAACAAAGGACATATATGCACTTTTAGCTTCTATAGGTTCAAAATATGTACTTAAGCATGATGTTTATAATGCTGTAAGCCGTCAACGTCAGCAAAAGTTGCAAGGATTAAGTGAAATTGAAATGTTGCTCAAAACTATACAAAATGATAAAAATATTATAGCAAGTGTTGCAACCAAATCTGCATATAACGATGAATGAGATCAAGATGGAGCATTTATACAAGCAATCTTCTGGGCATATCGAAGTGCAGTTGCTGAGTTTGCAGAAGCAAAGGATGTATTAATTATTGATGCAATGTATAAAACTAATAGGTTTTATTTAGTTATTTATTTATTATTTATTTGTTTGTTTATTTATTTAATTTTTTAATATACGATTTCTAGCATCTTTATTTTAATTTTATTTTTTTTAACAATAGATTTTCAATGTCATTAATTGTAATTTGTAGCATTGATCGATTTGGATTAACATATCCTTTGGCTTTTGCACTTGTTTATTCTGAAACAAAGGATTTTTATAGCTGGGTATTATGTGAGTTATGCAAAGTGCTAACTATTTTAACAGGTAATTCACATGTAGAAACTATTATCACTGATCGAGAGTTGGCTCTTATGGCCGCAATATCCAATATTTTTCCTGATACAAAGCATCAGCTATGCACATGGCACTTTTTTAAAAATATTAGAAATAAGCTTAAGAGCATTAATATTGACAAATTTATTCAAGCTATTTAAATGCTTGTATATGATAATTTTCTAGAAGATCAAGTAGAACAAAAATTCACTGAATTGTGGGAAAAATTTCCAAATGCAAAAAAATATATGTATAATACATAGATGCTATATAAAAAAAGCTGGCTTGCACTATATACAAAAAAAAATATAAATCTTGATATTAAGTCAAGCCAGCATGTAGAAAGTTTACATAACAAATTAAAAAGTATTGAAAGACGTGTTGTTCTAATTGATAGGTATGAATAAAAAATTGTTAGTTAATTATTAAGTAACTAAATATCATATAGTTATAAAATAATGCGCAGAGATATAATTTCGAATTTCAGACAAAATTAAGCTTAATTTAGACTAAAATTCGAAATTATATCTCTGCACATTATTTTATAACTATATATATGGTAATTAGCTAATTAATTTAATTTAATTTAATATTTTATGCCTATATTTATTTTCTTGTTATTTATAGGTTGCTTGCAATAGTTTGGCAACAACATCAAGAGCACACTCAAAAATTTGCTTATAAAATGTTTTTACATCAGAATAGGCATATACAAGATGATAAAGATACAGGCTTAGAAAAGCTACGTTCAATGTGTTCACGATTTGCTTATGAAACATATATAAAACAACAAAGAGATTTTGTAAGATCAGGAGAATATGGAGTTCTTAAGCGTGATGATGGTATATATGATGTAGTGCAAATTGATGATCAGATAATGAAAACATATGCGGTGCAAATTGAAACACCAAGTACTTGCACATGTTTACATCTATGGCATACCAGAACTCCATGCCAGCATATAATTATAGTATATCTTTTGTATCTACGTACTTGTGTACCACAAAGTAAGGTTCATAAACATTGGCATGTATTACATACTCCAAAAATCGATCATGTTCAAGATTTGGTTCCTCAGCTTGCTATGCAAATTTTTCAAGAGCTACCGCAGTGTCACCATAATGATTTATTAAATCTTATGCAAGATGTTTCAAACCAGATTTTAGAAAATGGAAAGATACCAAAGCTTCAAGATAATTCGAATAATTTACAGCAAAGTACTTTTGAAACGACCAATGCTGACAACATTATAGACTATAAGGAAATTAAAATAATTGAAGTTAAGCATAAACGTGACTGTCCTCCTAATAATAGGCATATTCCTGATGCTAATGAAAATAAGTTTAAAAAAGCTAAGATTGATAAAAAGTCAGATAAAGGTGATACATTTTTACATCTGTTTGGTTTAGAACTTGATCTACGCATTCCTCAAAATGCAGTATTACAGGTATGTATATACTATATTATATATATCTAATTTGCCCTTCTTAATAAGTGAATATCGAACATAGCTAAAATTAGGTATTAGATTGGCTTTTTATAGTTGCTGCATAAAAATAAGTATTTTATGTATTTTAGACAATACAAGAGTTTAATTTTTAAATTAAATGCTATAAATAAAAGTTGTATCCTGAGCAAATATTAAAAATAAAATTCATTATGAATATAACTGATATATTAGTTATGTAAGCAGCAATATATATCAATTATATTTGTAATTAAATTTTTCTTATAGCTAATTACTCAGGATATGACTATTATTTATTTAATTAGAAATTTGGGAAGATTCGAAATATTTTTTATAATAATTTAGATAATATATAATTACAGATACATAATCCACTCGGTGATGGATATTGCGGGTTTCGATCACTAGCTGTAGCTATATTCAAAGAAGAAAAAAAATGGCAAGATGTCAAGGCTGTGATGAAATCTCAATTAACTAAATGGCAACATTTCTATAGCAATATTCTTGGATATAATACAGATCGGTTAATGAATGTTTTATCATATATTCAACCAGAATGTTCACAAGAATACTGGTTTTATTCGCCGAAATGTGCACAAATAGCTTCAGATACGTTTAATGTACCAGTAGCAATATATGGCATAGACTTAATGACAAGTCTTCTTTTTTTGCCATTTGATCAGAAACCTGGGCGTCACAAAAAACCCATAATTCTGCATTGGCATGGACGTGACCATATTGTGTTTGTCAAACTCAAAGCAAATAGAAATGTACAAAATCCACCTTTAAATCCTCAGTACATTTCTATTTGCCATCACTTAGGCTTTTCAGAAGATTGGTTTTCTCTATTTACATAGATTTGTACTATTTATTGCTTTTCATGTGATTGTTTCTAGAAATATTGCTGTTGCACAATTAATTCAATTAATTTTAGCTTTATAATTCGATATCAGTTATTGAAGTAGTTCGTAGCATGGCAAGTGTCACTAAAAGTAACTCATGTTAAACATCTTTGACGAAGTAAATAAATAAAAATATATCATAATAAAGCAAAGTATTTTTTACACCTATTATGTTAAAAGTGCGAAACTGTAACTATGAACATGAAAAGCCGAATGCTTAGAATCGAAGATGTATGATATACATGTACATCTAATTGCTTTCTTAATACGTAAAAAAATTATTCTGGCATTTAATTTGCCAGAATTAGTCGAAATTAGTTTTCTTATATGTCAAAATTAATATATATATTTTTTTTTAAAAAAAAAAAAATTGCGCATACTTATTGATGTACACAAATAATTGCCGAATTTTAAGTAACCAATTAATGCTATAATTTTATTGGTCAAAAAAAATTGATGTACGTGAT